TATATATATATATATATATATATATATAACATGGGTTTGCTAAATCAAACATTAAAAGGATAAAAAGAGTGAATAAATCCCCTTTTAGGGTTTCCTAATTCACATGGAGTGGAGTGGAAGTCACCATTTCTATTCTTTTGTAGATCTCAACTCACCTTGGTATTTGATCCCACCACTTTCTCTGTTCTCATAATCTTTTCCACCACTTTTTACAAAATTACTGTTATTTTTGACCAATTCTCTCGCTGATATTTTGTTTTCCAATAATAATAATTAAACATTTTTATCAAGTGATATAATGTGTGATAAATCCAATAATTTTGAACTTTTGAGGCATAATAATAATTATAAATAACAAGAGTAATTAAAATGTTTAAAAAATCATAAACATCAACTAATCAATGACTAATTAAGCACTTAATGACGCACTCAATTAATTAATGGGCCCCTTAATTATTGTATTAAACGTAACGTCTTGAATTGATCTTCAAATTTCTATAGAGCCGTTACATATCTTTCCTCACCATTCGTCTTTAAAACCACCCACAAAACACACAAATTCAAATCATCACCTCATCATTAATAATGCCTTCTAAATTCTTTGCATATCTTTTCCTACTCTCATCATTCCTTTCAGGTATGCCTCTCAACTTCCTATATATGTATATATATATATATATATAGGCTCGAAAACCTATCACCGGTTTATGTACTGTAATCCGGGGATGCGTTTCCGAAGCCGTTTGATAACGTTATTGAATGAATCTTGACTCATTTTGGTGATTGTTTCATGTACAGTTGGGATGTTTGGATCAGTTTATGGCGATAAGGTAATTAAGGAACATCTGTCTTGTTTAACTTGATGATCTTTGCTATCTATAGATAGTAATGACTTTAAAAGATTGTGTTTTCGGATGAAACCGAACGAGAAAACCCTAAAAAAATTGGTCTTTTCTTGTTGTAGAAAACATGGTGTGTGGCGAAGCCGTCATCGAGTGAGGCGATGTTGTTAGAGAACGTGAACTACGCGTGCTCGCAAGTCGACTGTGGGATCTTGGCGAAAGGTGGTGCGTGTTATTTGCCGGATAATCTCATCAACCACGCCTCCATTGCCATGAATATTTACTATCAATGCAAGGGAAGAAACTCGTGGAATTGCCATTTTGGTAACTCGGGTCTCATTACTATTACGGACCCAAGTAAGTGATCGAAATCTTTAACCAACCCGTTAAAGATTCGAACCTAAACTTCGCTTTTTTCATTAGAAATTCAATCACCCATTAAAGATTAGATGTTAAAGGTTCAATCTTTATTGAAAGTTTAATCAACCCATTAAAGATTTTAAGTTAAAAATCCGTTTTTATTCGAAGTTTAATTGACCCATCAAAGATTTGAGGTTAAAGTTCGGTTTTTACTGGACCCATTAACAATTTGACGTCAAAGTTTAGTTTCTTGTTAGAAATTTAACCAACCCGTTAAAGATTTGACGTAAACGTTTAGATTTTAAAAGAAATTTTGTACTGATTTGCAGGTTATGGAGGTTGCCACTATACGTAAATGATTGGCACGAAGATCCAAGAAGACGATGTTCTCGATTTGTACCCAAAATTTCTAGCATTAGAAGTAGTTAGAGACCATTGGTATGTTATTATTAGGTTTGATCGAATGCAAGAAGCAAGAAACTTGGCTAATTTGTAGCATTATTTCTGTTATTTGAACAATATTGCTTTGAAGGGCTTTTGCTTATTTTTGTGTTTATCGATTAAATATCTTAAATGAAACATTTTCATATGGTGGATGTAAGGATTTTTTTTATTAACTTTGATATCCAACCTGTTATACGAGCCGACTAATTCCAGGGTGACTACCTATTTCGCAGGTAGTCCGAAGTCATCGTATTTGAACCTCAATGGCCGCAAAAAAAAATTTATTCCTACTTGGATTCGTTACATATAAAACTATGTTGTTTTATATCTGAATATAGTGGTGGATCCAGAATTTTCGCCCAACGAATGTACCTTTAAGGTGGATCAAAGGTTCGTAAAATCGTCTGATGTATTTTGGCCGAATTTCATCGTTCCCACCTGATTTTCTCGAACATGTCAATGCAATCACCCATTTCATCGTCCCTAGTAATTTGTTTCATACATGTCACAACTTCAGAATGATTTTCATTTACCGAATCACATAGTTGTTTACTTTTTTACCCTTCGAGGTCGAGGATAATAAAATCAGTCTATTCCGATGTTAGCACGATCAGTGATAATTACGCAGTTATTTGTCATTCTTACAAAAATATCAAGGATTTGATTTTGTTGTATGCTATCGACATCTGTTGTGGTGAAGGATATGCCAATACGTTTTCATGTGGTGGGTAGTTTTGTGCATTTAAGAAAGCATTTATTTGGTTCGGGTGGTTGTGTTGAATTCATGGTTGTGTTGAATTCGTGTACAATGATGGTAACAGATCTATTTTTATAGTGAACATGTATCATATTCACAAAATAAGTTTTGGGAATGCTGATACATATCCTTGTACAGTTGTAGATCCACCAAACGGTTATGATAGATCTAATTTTTAGTGATATAATATATTTAAAATGTTGTTTATAATTAACAGATTAAAATTACGTTTAACGTATAAAACAGTTGAAATTTGGATCAAAAATCATACAGTCCAAGTGCACGAGGTGTACTGGGTCCTTTACGTCCAATACAAGGTTGTACGCTTGTTCACCGTGCAAATTTCTAGCTAACTCAAAGTACTGGGTATGCTTACTCATATATTTGGTTAATGCATACAATTGTAACATATAATCTACGATATATGAAATTTGTAGGTTTTGAAATTAAAATCGAGAACGAATATGATGGGCAAAATCTGAAGATGAAGAAATATAAAAACGAGGGAATAAGAGGGTCAATTTACAACGTGTTTTAACAATATTCAGTCAAGATTTACTGAAATAACATATAATATAAATATTATTTTAACATACTGCCAGTAGGTACCCATGGAACAAGAACAGTCCAGCGAAAGTGCAATCTTTTGTGCGACTATCTCCAAGTGTACTAGCTGACGTTTTAAGATAGAAACATCTAAATTCAGATCGAAACTTAAACGGGTTTCTCATTTGATCATTTATGAGGGGTATTCACGGAAACAACCATTTTACTTTTTTTGGATAAATATCAGATCAACATACATCTTACTCTGTCCAAACTCCACCTCGTGTATCGATAAATGGTCTTTCTTGATGCGGAGTTCTTTGTCTCAATGGTGGAATATGGCATGAATCATTCCTCATGAGTTACATCTGTATATCATGGATCGAAACAAGCGTGAACGAGTTCAATAAAGGATCACGTGCTGTTTTGACTATTTCACTAGAAAGAAACCACGTCACTTAAAAAAACGTGTTTTTAGGTTACAGTAATCACAAACATAAAATAGAAAGCATTTATGTCAACTCGTTCTCTTCTAAGCCATTCGTGTGACAAAATATCTTATGTTCAATCAGATATTAATGCATAAACCTTTATACAAACAGACTCAATCGAAACATAATAAAATAAATTTTAAATAATAAAAAACGTTTAAAAGTCTAGAACAAGATCGGATAACTATCCATAATTCAATGTTCGTTTACCAAACGCTTACCGAGTAAGTGTTTATCAATAAGAGTCCAGTTATCCTTTCAAAATTGATTGTTGGTAAGCATCTTTTACCTGGTAAGAGTTTTTTCCGTCACTTATTGAGTAAGATTCTCGGTTCTTGCTATGCCTTTTGCAGGGTGATATCGTTATTTATTTTGGTAAAGGAAAAAATGATGGTCAAGTAAGTAACCCTGGTCAACATGCGAACCCTTGGGTTAGATTAAATGGAAATGTTAAAAAGATGGAATCATGTTGGGGTGAACCATACACATGTATATATATCTTTGTGTATATATCGATCGAGGCGTCCCTTGCCACTCCTTGAGTCTCGCGAGAAATTTCGTGGTTTCTGCATCATCATCATCATCATCATCATCATCTTTCTGGTCGAGATCTCTCATACACGCAATCTGCAGCTATTGATCCCGATCCGGAGTAAACTTTATGTAAGTTCATGTTTCTCTACGCTAATTTCTTTTCCATTTTCATGTAGCTATAAATAAATATGATCGGACCTCGATCTTGGTTTCTATTCAACGATTTCGAATGTTGTTTATATGATGATGATGGCATTTGATTGTTTTGCTTAGATCTGGTTTATTGTTCGATGAGCTGAATCGAGCTTGTATAAGCATCGATTTGATACAAGGAAATGGTGAATTTGATCTAGATCTGGTTTGTTCTGATTCGTGTTTTAGGTTTAGTGTGCGATTTCTCGTATCTGTTGATTGCCATTTTATTCGATTTCCAATCTGATGAGAGTTAGGTTGAGTTCGACATTTGATTTTAGATCAGGATGCTGATCGTGATCTGCTTTGATTCGTTGTTATAAACCCTCTTCTTTAGTTGTTTATTGCATTTTATGTGCTTTTAGAAAATTAGCATCTCCTTTTTCCAGGATAAATGCAATAACTTGTGGATTAGTTATCGAATAGCTTGCATTTTCCATATGCTGTTATTGCGCCTACACTCCTCTAAAGCATTGTTTAGATTCGCCAAACATTCCATACTGCTTGTCAATTATGTGTTTTTTATGCTGTTGAAGTAAGATTGTTTGCTTTCTACTCTTGAGTTCAAAATTTATAAAGGTTTTTAGCATGCGGATTTTGAGTTAGACTTCTATTTTGTTTTCCCACAGACTGCTCCAGTATGGCTACTTACACGCCAAAGAACATCCTTATCACTGGGGCTGCTGGATTCATTGCCTCTCATGTTGCTAACCGGCTCATCAGAAGCTACCCTGATTATAAGATTGTTGTGCTTGACAAGCTTGATTATTGTTCAAATCTTAAGAACCTCAATCCCTCCAGATCGTCTCCTAACTTCAAGTTTGTTAAGGGGGACATTGGCAGTGCCGATCTTGTCAACTACCTTCTGATCACCGAATCTATTGATACCATAATGCACTTTGCTGCACAAACCCATGTTGACAACTCATTTGGCAACAGCTTTGAGTTCACAAAGAATAACATCTATGGCACCCATGTGCTTCTAGAGGCCTGCAAGGTCACTGGACAGATTAGAAGGTTCATCCATGTGAGCACTGATGAGGTCTATGGGGAAACAGAGGAGGATGCTGTTGTGGGTAACCATGAAGCTTCACAACTTCTTCCTACAAACCCATATTCAGCCACAAAAGCTGGGGCAGAAATGCTTGTGATGGCTTATGGTAGGTCATATGGATTGCCTGTGATTACCACTAGAGGAAACAATGTTTATGGCCCAAACCAATTCCCAGAAAAACTAATCCCTAAGTTCATTCTCTTAGCTATGAGAGGAAAGCCACTACCAATTCATGGTGATGGTTCTAATGTAAGGAGTTATCTCTACTGTGAGGATGTTGCTGAGGCTTTTGAAGTAATTCTTCACAAGGGGGAAGTTGGTCATGTTTACAACATAGGGACCAAGAGGGAGAGAAGAGTTATTGATGTTGCTAAAGATATGTGCAAACTTTTCAATATGGATCCAGAAGCAAGCATCAAGTTTGTGGAGAACAGGCCATTTAATGATCAGAGGTACTTCTTGGATGATGAGAAATTGAAGAGCTTGGGTTGGTCTGAAAGGACCAGATGGGAAGATGGTCTTAAAAAGACCATCGAGTGGTATACCAGCAATCCTAATTGGTGGGGCGATGTCTCTGGAGCACTGCTTCCTCATCCACGAATGCTGATGATGCCTGGTGGTGTTGATAGGCTTGTTGATGGACCTGAAAATGCTGAATTTGATTCAGATGATGTGGCAAATAGCGGTTCTCAGATTGGCATTGTGGTTACCACTCCCAAAAGCAGTAGCACCTCTACTAAGAAACCGTCCTTGAAGTTCCTCATCTATGGTAGGACAGGTTGGATCGGGGGTTTACTTGGGAAGCTGTGTGAGAAACAAAAAATTCCATATGAGTATGGAAGAGGTCGCTTGGAGGATCGCTCACAGCTTTTGGTTGATATTCAGACTGTTAAACCAACTCATGTTTTCAATGCTGCCGGTGTCACTGGCAGACCCAATGTTGATTGGTGTGAATCTCACAAGACAGAAACTATCCGTACCAATGTCTCGGGCACCCTGAACCTAGCAGACGTATGCAGAGAACACGGCCTTTTGATGATGAATTTTGCCACTGGATGCATTTTTGAGTACGATGCTAAACACCCAGAAGGCTCTGGCATCGGTTTTAAGGAAGAAGACAAGCCCAATTTCACCGGATCCTTTTATTCAAAGACCAAAGCTATGGTAATCACCATTTCTTAATCCTTGTCTTCTTTTTATTTTTTCAATATTTCTTCATGCATACACCGAAAATTGTACTACAAACTTGCAAGTAGGCTGCTTTTGATATGTGGGACGGGACAACACATAACAAAAAGTTGTTTCATGTTTGGTGTGACAATTAGACTGCAGCACTTGGGGGGTGCATTTTTCAGCCCCACCAAAATAGGTGGAACAAAAACCAGTGAGATGGGAAAAGTTTGGTAAAATTACTAAACTGCCCACATCAGACTAAAAACCTTAAACCTTCCACAATTCTTTCACCATCTACCTCACTCTCACCCGTCCATGCTCGTCCAGTTCTGTTTCATCCCATTTGTGTACCAAACGCACTACATGGGACAGAACAAAAACTTGTTATCCCACATTTGTTGCTTCATTTAGACTGTCATAAGACAGAACTGAGTTTTGTCCCACCAGATTAGGTGGAACAAAGATCAAGGAGAGGAGACTAGATTGGTGTTTGGTAGATTACTAAACTGTATGCTATGAATGTGATATTGATCGAGTTTTTCAGGTAGAGGAGCTGTTGAAAGAATACGACAACGTTTGCACCCTGAGAGTCCGAATGCCAATATCATCAGACCTGAACAACCCGCGCAACTTCATCACCAAAATAGCTCGTTACGACAAAGTCGTCAACATACCCAACAGCATGACCATCTTGGATGAGCTTCTACCAATCTCAATAGAGATGGCAAAGCGAAATCTGAGAGGAATCTGGAACTTCACAAATCCTGGGGTGGTAAGTCACAATGAGATCCTGGAAATGTACAAAAAGTACATAAACCCAGAATTCAAATGGGTCAACTTCACCCTGGAAGAACAAGCCCGAGTGATCGTGGCCCCACGGAGCAACAACGAGCTGGACGCATCGAAGTTGAAGAAAGAATTCCCGGAGTTGATGTCGATCAAGGAATCGTTGATCAAGTACGTATTCGAACCCAACAAAAAACAGTAATGAAGATGGATGAGATTCGAGATTCTTTCTTTGTTTGTAAACTGGAAATCGGGTAGTTTTACTTTGGTGTAATGGGGTTTGGATTATACGTCTGTAATGTTTAAGTCATTTGTTCCATTTGGTAGAGGATGATGATGATGAGATAGGAGGAGGCCATTTGGTATTTTATATTTTCTCCACCAAAACTTAGTCTGTTTACGAATATTTTGGGTTTTTAGATTTGTTGTTGGATTCTCTATTAAAGATTTGTTATTCTGTGAACTCCTTTTTTTTTCATGTATTTATTAAATAAAATGGTATCGTAACAACATCTTCAACAACTATAATGTTATTTTGGAAATTATTTGGAAAAACTTTGCTCAATAAATTGCGCTAAATTTTCCGAAGAGAAAAAGGAAGAGAGTGGAGAAACATATGTTATTTCTGTCTCAAAATAAGTGTCTACCTTTACTATTTTTGTAAGTGTTTATTTTTAAAAGTAAATGTATATTTTTCTGTTCTACCCTTAATTATGAGGTGGAGAAGATTTCTCTCTGTAATTAAGTGCAAAATTGACTTTTTGTTAATTAAAAAATGTAATGATCAGAATTTTCTATAACTATGTATGTTTTTCATTGTTTTGGGATGGAGGTATGGTGGACTAACCAACTTTAAATTAAATCCGCTTTTTGTCTTTTAAACCCTTTTTTTTTTATTACCAAACGGTCTTTGGTCGGAAGCGGATCTAGAAAAAATCTGAAGTGGTGGAATCGTTTGATTATAAGAAATAAATATGTAGAATTCTTTTTGTAAATTATTATAGATATGTTGGTTTATTTGTTGTCTTTGCATTTTCTTTCAAAATTTCAAAAAATAAAAGTTGAAAAATAGAGAAATTTGTTATAAAAAAACATGATCCGTACCGCACCCTTCCGAAGGGCAAACCTTAGCATGGTGACATGCACCAACCTTGCCACCAAACGCTTCTGTTTTTAGTTTATCGTTAAGAAATATACAGGTATGTTAGAAATAAAATAGATACATCTTTTTAAAAATCAATGGTTAAAACATGTAAAATTTATATATCATTTAAATGTTACACATAGTAGATAGTAGATTATCAATTTCCACATGCTCCCATTTTGAATTTTAAGAGGTTAATGCAACAATTTAAATTACTTATTTCATTATTATAAATGATTAAATTAAATTCATAAATTCTCACTTTAAGGAATCATTTGTTGAATATTTAGAAGTATATTTTAATAACAAGAAATATCATAATCTTTTATGTGTCTATCTATTTATAATAATCTCAACTTGTAGAATCTACGAAGTTTCATCTCTTCAATTCTAACCCTTTTTTTTTAAATATATAATATTTATATACAATAAATGTAACAAATAAACTTATACTTCTTTCTTATATTTGGTGAATTTGAATTCATGACCTCTTAGGAGGCAAAGACTCAAATACCATTAAGCTAAAAGCTCTTTGATTTATGAGTCATTTACCAAATACATACCAGGTAAATGTTTATCAGGTCAATTACCTGACAAGATATATAATTATATATGGCAAGGATCTAGAATCATATCCGATATGAGCGATGACAATAGCCGAGAGTTTTACACTGTAAGTGAGGGTGACAACTCTTATCCAGTTAACGCTTACCAAATAAACTATTGTCTCCGATTATCAGTATAAATTCTCATCTATAAGTGTTTAAAGTAAACGTTTGGATAAACAACTCTTAATGGTTTGTTTAACTCTAATCTTGAATTTTAAGTAATATGCATTAATAAACAGTACTTAATGTATAAAAAATAGTTTTTATGAGTTTTTGTCAAATGTTTTATAATATAGTATAGATATAAATAAGAAACTTATTACCATTTCAAAAGCAATAAAGCAATCAGTTGTTTTCGTCCTATTGTCTTTAACTTCAAAAGCCATATAATAATTATTACCACAATAAACGGTCAGAATGATTAATAAATATTCAAACACTTAATCATTTAAAATAATTAAAAATCCACCCTTTTTTTTGACGTTTTTTCTTAAATATAATTTTAATATGAATAATTAATAAAACAAAACAAATATATCGTGTAATATGTTTTGTTAACGTGGGGGTGAAGTTTGATTGTACAAAAACAGATCACATTTTAAGATTCGTTAATTATTAATGAGCACCCACGTCCCACCACATAATTTTTCTTACACCGCACAAACAAAACCACCCATCATCATGCCCACTACATAACCCATCTAAATAATTATAAAACATCTTATCAATCTTTTATGTCTGAATTGAAAAGAGGTATGGTCATTAAGACTGTTCGTTTTTTCCAAATTTTCTAAGTCATTTCTATCCAACCGTTCTTGAAAACAAACACAGCCTAAATGTGATCAAGGTTTTAGATCCGTTCTTACACCTTTCATCTTAACTTTTATTCTCACATGATCCTTCGTCATACATGTATTATATGTATATGTATATATATATATATATGTGTGTGTGTGTGTGTGTGTATACAAAGGTTCATGTGAGAAAAAAAGTTAAAATGAGAATATAAAAAGAGATCTGAACGCTTGATCACTTTTAATCTCACCCACCCATGAATTGCAATTTAGAATAAAATTGATCCATACATCTCGATGCATCTCATTAGTTTTGACATTCAATTAGAATTGATCCAAGAGTGGAGCTACTTCTTATGTTTTTCACTATAACTTTTCATTCCCACCGGAATCCAACCATATATATATGTGTGTGTACAAAGGATCGTGTGAGAAGAAGAGTTAAGATGAGAATCGTAAGAGATTTGGACCCTTGATCACTTTATATATATATATATATATATATATATATATATATAGGAGTGATCAAATGAAAACCACTCTTATTTGTGTAAACCATGCAAACCTCATTCAACCAATCATAATTTTTTATTTTGTTCATTTTTTTGTAATTATGAGAGGTTGATTAGTCATTTTTATTGTGGAGGGTGTTAATCATGAATATTATCATCTTCGTTATTTTAATTTTAGAGAAATATATGAAACAGTTTCATTAAAATTTCATTAAGTATTATATGAAACAATTTCATAACCATATATGAAACAACTTCATCAAAAAAAGTATTATATGAAACAATTTCATAAGATTAAACAAGTTCATAAAAAAATTTCATAAGATTAAACAATGAAATCGACGGATGAAAGTAGTTTGTACGGTTTGTACAAATTGATTGGTTTGTATTTGATCGCTCCTCTATATAGATAAGCAAAGGATCGTGTGAAAAAAATAGTTAAGCTAAGAATCATAAGAGATCTGGACATTTAATCACCTTTAATATATATATATATATATATATATATATATATATATATTGTTTTGGGAATGATAATTGGATTGGAAATGGCGTATGTTAGTAAATTAATAATGGACCAAATAGCATTGAAGCAAATTAATAGTGGTTTAAATTTAATGATCTAAGAAGTAATCCTCTAACGATCATCAATTAAGGAGTTGATATTGAATAATTACCAACACTAACTACATTACTACTACTCATCTTCAAGATGCTTGAGCAAGATCCTTCAAAAACGATACCACATCATCCGACGTTGGTAACAGATACCGCGCATTCGTACGTGTCCGCCCCACCGCACACGAGAAATAGTTATCCGCTTTCAGATCAAGAACGTTCCACGATACCTTATCTGGGGTCGTCGATGATCGTTTTCCGCCATTCTCACTACCATAGTTTCTGTTATTGTTACTTGTTCGTTTGTTATCTGGACTTTGTGGCGGTCGTTTTTGACATGATTTCCACCCGCTTTTACCGGCCTTTCGGTCTCCGGGAGGCTTCGGCTTTGCGCCATCATTTAGCTTCGGCCTCGGAATACCCATGCCGTTAGAGGGAAGCTCTGGCTCAAAAAAGGTGTAAATATCTTCATCCTGAAACAACACAACTACTTGAATCAAATGGCCATTCATGTTGAACAATTATTACACCATAAAAATGAGAATCGTAAATATTTTGAGAACCTCGAGACCAATTATTCCATGTATTATTCATAATGAATAGCCCTGAATATTATTCATCATGCATTTTGATCATTTACAAGGCGTGACTTCTTAAAAAAATTAGCTTTTGTGTTTTTACACTTTTAATTTTAGATTTTCCACTTTTATAGATTTATCTAATCACATCACTCACAGTTTCACGAATTCATACACGTCATGGACTTAAAGATTAAAAAGAAGTTGTAAAATTACCTTTTGAAGTTCTATTTTGAATATTTAATCAAAGACTGTTTTTATATTTTATATGATTTTTCATCTAAATATGAATGTAAATTATTCATGATGAATAATCCTGAATATTATTCATTATGAATATCATGCATTTTTATTATGAATAATTTTCATCATTAATGCATATCACTACATTCATAATGAATAAAGCATGAATAGTTGGTTTTCAGGTTCTGATTTGATCATGTCTCTTATGATGTGTTATCGGAAACTGCCTATCTACCGTTTGGGGTTAGAAACAGAGTCTGCATACATCCTACCTCCCTAACTGATTTGTGTGGGATATACTGGGCTCATTTTGTTTGGTTTGGTTCTATTCCGACGTGTTGTACACATATGTAAAAATCCTAATGCGGGATACAACGAAGGACTAGAAAGCAAGAAATCGGTTTAAGATTGGAGTACATACCTTCCCCAGAAAATGGCCGATACATAACACATAATCGATTGGGGATGAAATTGATTTGCTATGAACTATCTCGCCTAAAATACGAACAATTGTGATACCCTGTACAAGATTGGTCCAATGGATTAGAATTTCTGATTACCGATAGCCAAAATCTATATTAACAATCTGATCAATATCGTTTAGTTCTAAACGATATAGTCGCTGTGATTTTAGCTTCATTAGCAACAGTATCATTACCATGCAAAATTCGACAAAGTTGCTGAACGGGTGCACATGTGGCATGAGACACGTAACTTTTTGCTGACATGGCACTGAATCGCATGTCAGCAAAAAGGTTATGTGTGTAATGCCAAGTTTATATCCCGTCAGTAATTTTGTCAAAACTTGAATGGGTTTCGCTCGAGCGCTCGAAATGGACTAATGGCAACACTACCTGTGGTAAAAGATACCGTCCGCGATCATAACTATCAGTATAAACTGCTCCCTCCGTCCCAAAATAAGTGTCAACGTTTCTATATTATTTCATTCCAAAATAACTTTCCACTTTCAAAACTAAATGCTTACTTTTTGATTCCACCCTTAATTATGAGATTGAGAAATTCATTGCTCCCTCTATTATTAAGGATAAAACCGTCACTTAGTTAATTAAAAAGTGGAATAATTACACAGTTTTAAAATTGTGTGCCTTTTTCATTGTGGACACTTATTTTGGGACGGATGGAGTATACAAAGAACTGTTGTTTGTGCAATGTCAACCAACAATCCACCAATCCACGATCATTACCATCATTATTTTTTTTATAAAACTCGTAATCACGTTGTGACAAGTGAAGTCAAACGGTCACCTTGGTCACACCGGCTGCTCGGACCTCGACAGAACGGCTGCCTTGAACGACATCCACGGATGCATTAGATATCGGGCCAGTCCACAGATGCTGCAGCATGTCTCTGGCTTGAAGCCTCCCAAATTCAACATCTGCATTCCCATTGCCATGACAACGAGCAAACAAAAGAAAACACGATACTAATGAAGGATCATGTAAACCGCGATAAGGGAAGTCGTAAAAATACCTGCATACTTGTAATTCCATACCAGTGAGGTCTCACGAAGTTCAAAATGCGATCGAGGTGTTCTTTCGGTGAAATACTCAAAGACATGCTGTGATGAAGATTACAGTTAGAAGGGATCAGGTAAATAGTGGAGCCAAGCTCATGTTTGCTCGGCTGACGACTTGCCCATGAAAAAAAACGTAGGCTTGGGCTCGGCTTGTGGCTTGCCCCAACTCAAAAAGCTCATGCTTGGTCTTGTCATGGCTTGGTCCATATGGGCACATAATAAGCTTGAGCCTTGGCTTGGCTAGTGTAGGTGCAGATTCGAGTCTTGTCTTTGAGCTTCCAAGCACAAGCCTTTCTCGGTTCAAGCTCATTTCAGATAATCCAACAAGCAGGCTCAGCCCACAATGGACTCTCCAAGCTCTTTGACAAGCCACTTTACTAAGGGTCTGTTTGTTAGCAGTTTAATGAGCATAATGTGACTCACAGCTTATTCAGTCAGCTATACATGACTGTTTGGTAGTGACTTAATAATACAGAAAGTGGCTTATTCAGTAAGTTTCTAGGGGGAGCTTTATGCAAAAAGCCAAGTTTTTTTCCAAATCTGCCCCTCCCAATTAAAAAACACACTCCTTCCATCTACGAAAAAGCCCTCCGAAACAAAAATCTTCCCAATCTATACAGACAGATTAATCTACACATAAAGCTTTATCCATACAGGAGTTGATGAAAAACCAACCAAACAGCCCCTAACTCTCATGAGCCAGCCAGTCTCATTCATCTGCACTCCTAACAGTGATTGTCGACACTATAAAGACATAAACCTTAAAAAGCATGCACCTTTACACTGTCGACCCATTCCATATTTGAATGCTCGGGCATTGTCGTCATCCAGGTTCCTCTAGTGGAGCGTAAAAACATTCCATTCTCGGCTGCCAACCACATGTTGTACTCACCAAAGTTCTGAGGGATTAAAGAATGCCTCAAAGTTGTCAAAAAGAACATGATACCGATCCAAAACTCAGAAATAAAAAAAGTTGATTGGGATAAATACATCATCCAATACAGTTCGGTCGCTTCCACTGAGGACAACAACGGTTGTCTGCGGATCGTTGCAAAGCTTTATCAGTGATTCCTTCAATTCAGGGTGCAATTTAAGATCCATTTCTCTAATCTGATCACCTCCGCGTCTATCAGGAGTGTCAACTGGTTCAGTTAATGTAGCACTGAATCCCTGTGTTTTTGATGATGTGAAACTCGAGAAAAACCAACATAAGATAATTAAAGGCTTTGATTTGTTTTTCATAAAGAAATGGAACCAGTACCAGTATGACCAACCGATTACTTGACTGCAAATAGCACTCGATGGCCTCTTCAACCGGCAGTGCTGGTGGAACTTGTCTTATCCTTTGCTGTGCTTCAACTACAGTATCATTCAGTTCACTACAATATCAACGTTAAAATAAATCAAATCTTGGCTGAAGTAAAAAGTCAGCTCTTGGCTATGTATGTTATGCATTTGGTATGCAGACCGGACTGGGCGGGCAAGAGTGAGGTAGGCAGGTGGAAGAATTGTCAATTGTGCAAGGTTTTAGGAGTTTCAATTTGACAAGGGTAGTTTAGTAATTTACCAATCTTGTTCCATCCACCTGATTTTTGTCCACCCATTGGTTGGTCTTGTCCTGTCTCAGTTTAAACATCGCACCAAACGTGGAACAACAATTTTTTGTTCTATCCTGTCCCACATACCAAATGCAGATGGATGGAAAGAATGGCAGTAAGGGCCTGTTTGTTAGCAGCTTAATGAGCTTAATGGGACTCATAGCTTATTCGGTCAGCTATATATGACTGTTTGGTAGTGCCTTAATGATATAGAAAGTGGCTTATTGAGTAAGCTTCTAGGGGAAACTTTATGCAGAAAGCCAAGTTTTTTCAAAACCTGCCCCTCCCAATTATAAAGCATGTTCCTTCCATCTATGGAAAAACCCTCCCAAAGATAAACCTTCCCAATCTATACACAATGGTTAAACCACATAGACAACTTTATCCATACAGGACTTAATGGAAAACTAATCAAACAACCCCTAACACATACCTTACAAAAGTTTCTGCCCATTCTTGAGCAGTATGGGTTGTGACATGCAAGAAGTTGTGGCGATGTCGTTTCTCTCTTTCTTCGGCTGTCATATTCAAAGCTTGGCCTATTGAAGCTGCAACTTCGGTTATGTTCCAAGGGTTAACAAGAATTGCCCCAGCACCAAGGGATTGTGCAGCACCTGCAAACTAGAGGGTACACCAGGAAAAGGATAACTTGGTGGGTTAAAGAAAGACTAAAGGAAATTTCATATATTATAACTACAGGGTCAGGTTCAACTACAGGATCAGGTTCAGGAGAAAACCACAAGAAAATGAAAAACTGAGGAACACCCTGGTAACCATTCATTTTGATGGTATGCACATGTGCATACAAATAATTTGTAAACAATTTGTCCGGTATGCAAATGTGCATAAAAACCAAAAAACAGGTTCAATTACTTGTATGCACATGTGCATACCGTCCAAATGAATGGTTACCAGAGTGTTCCTCAGTTTTTCATTTTTTGCGGGTTTTCCACTGAACCTCCCTCTATAACTACATATATAAATAATACATGTGCTTGCAGAAGCCTTAACAAAGGTACAAGGCTCATGAGCTTCCACCCAGTGGGTCCTCTATGTGGACATCTTTCATGAACACTGTTCATCGTGTGAAATAACTCAAAAGCTGTCACCCTTATATACATATGTATGTGTGTAGATGTATGTATATATGCAGATGTATACACATATGGATGTATAAATTAAATACACATAGCCTACATATTGGTATACATAATATAAGCACATACACACACACATATATGCAGTAAATCCATGTGTGTGCATGTATGTATGCATGTATATCTACATGTATATTTTATGTGTGTATACACAACGGAGCACAAGAGGGTTGAGGAAGATGATCTCCTAAAAGCTGAAACTTATAGCGGTTTGAGGAAATTATTTCAACAGAAGTCATTCACAATTCTAACCATCATTCTTACTAATATGAAAAGAAAGAAAAAATACACTACTCTTCATAAGAATGAGGATTTTTTTTTGGGTAACCGTGGGTTTCCAGGCCAGCTTGGTCCCATAAGGAAAGGGCAACTGCATCTAAAAGAAACGTACATTGGTCCAACTGTTATCTTATGAGACAACTAGTGAAATTGAGTTGCATAAACTTTTGTCCAATTTAAAAAGACAAAAACTGGGATGTGGATAATAGAATTAAAATCCCTAATAATAAATACCAGTTATGCCAATTATAACAATGATAAATAATAAGAACCCATTCCAAACAAAGTTTACAGTACCCATAGTTACCTCACTTAAAATCAGCACCCCTCTTTTAGCATCTTGGCATGCCACAAACTCGTAACTGACAAGATTCATTCCGTCCCGCAAAGATGTGACAATTGCTATATCTGGCAATGTAAAATCCGGATCACAAATCATGGGTCATGACCTACTTAGACAAATTCGTTTGAGAATTCAATTATAGTCATTTAGGCAAGAATCAACCGAGTATACATTTCTTTATCCAGAAAAACAAGTATAATTTAGACCATGCAAAGCTGAACACATCTAGGACAGTCCTTTTCGGGTGAATGAAACTCAGAATACCATCAAAAACTTGGTCTACCAAGTCCTTGGCTCATTTTGAAGATCAGGTTGCCTGAATAAACCTCAAACTCTAGTTTTAACTTGGGAAATTTACATAAATAGCCAAAGTTGATTGGCGGTTTCACTCTTTAGCCATTTTCTACCCCAAATTCACTTTTTAGCCAATTCTTAGGCAGAAGGCTTATGCACATGCGTAAGGATTGGTTTTCGGCAAAAAAAAATCTTAGCATATGTATAAGGTTTCTGCATATAAATTCCACTTTCTGCGTAAGGATTCCACTTTACGCGGAAGGATTCTTGTTATTTTATTTTTTTTGGCTGAAAAAAATGCTTACGCATATGCACAAGGATTGGCTAAAAAGTGAATTTGGCGTAAAAAATGGGTAAAAGGTGAAACCACCAATCAGCTTTGGCTATTTATGTAAATTCCCTTTTTAACTTTTAATGGTGCAATGTGCATAAAAAAAATTAAGAAAAAGTAACAGCTTTGGTTACATGAACCATAAGAAAAAGTAACAAGCAAGAGAGCCATGGATCAGTACCAGTGACAGCATACAGTGCACATAAAGCCTGAAAATCAAGAGAGCGGTCCTGCAAACATAACATGATGCTCTTCAAAAACTTGATAAACATCACACACACACACACACCACTTGAATAAGAAAAAGGATGAAAGCTCTAATGAGCCTTTTGTTTTCCAAATGTGTGCTTTTCTTAGTTAAGAAAAGGTGAGATCTTTTTTATTTGTAGACTAGCAAATGGATTTCTTATCACTACTCAAAACCACATACAGGAATTAGGTTGATCAGTTCCAACGGAAATCTAATAACCTTGCAAGCTATTAGATCAAACCAAAGGGCCATTGGCCTAGCGGTACCCCTTAACTCCACCTTCCTGGAGGTCAGGAAAGTCTCACCAAAGGTGAGAAGTGTGTGTGAGTTTACTTTGCCATACATATGTATATATATGTTATATACTTCAAAAAAAGCTAGATCGATGAAAGGCTAACCAGATGGTGAATTGGAACAGTTGTCAGTGTCCCAAATCTTCCATTTATTCGTCCCACAATTTCATGAACCTGACTAGTCAGTTTCTGATCTGCCAAATCACATTATCGGAAACCAAATATGTATCAGCAACAGATAAACAGCATGTTGGTACTGCAAATTCCAGTATTTTAGAAATATACACTCAGGAACATCTGTTCTTGTTGGTACTGCAATCTGTAATAAAACCACTTTATCACGCCAATATTGATTCTCCTCCAGAAACTTCTCAAATGCAAGTATCTTTTGGGGAATCCCTTTGATCATATCTAAGCGGTCAACTCCTAACATTACCTGTCAGAAGAAGAAAACACATGCTTACAAGTAATCAGGCCAAAAGGTTTGAATAAGGAAGATGGACAAAGTAAAGTAACATCACCTTTCTCCCAGAAAATCTCTCTTTCAATTCTTTGATATGCTCTTGTACTTGAGGATTCTCGAGTGCACGAATAAAGCGATCTGAATCTATACCAATTGGAAACTGTAGTTCATAAATTAAAGAGCAAGCATCAGAGGGGGAAGTATTTCCATATGTGGGATTTCATATACAATGAAAGATGATTCATTTGCATGTATTATAGAACAAGGAAGATGTTACGCAATTGAATTCACAATTACCGCAGCAACTCGAGTTAACCTCCCTTGATCCTCTACCCCTTCAGGTGTACCTTCAAGTCCAAGGATACGAGTACAAGCACTAACAAAGTGTCTTGCATAATCATAGGTATGGAAACTGGGAAACAATTTACGGTTAACTACAATATCTTCTAATATATATAAAAGAAGTTTCTTGAATCAGGATAAAGGAATATAGCAAGCAAGGATGCTGACATGTTGTATTTCATTAGTAGCAAAATGCCAAAATAGTCTAATCAGGTTCATAAAGATTTTCAAGTTAAAGAATATGTTTAGGTTTTACACTGTTATAGATGATGACAAAAAGATTCTTAATATAGTGACAAGATTGAAGCAAAGACCCTAATTGAATTCGGAAGTACCTATATATAATGTCAAATCAGAACATGTTAAAACAGGATAGGAACAAACCTACGGACTTACCCAACCAAATCAGCAGCAAGAACTGCACGTAGAAGCTCCGAGCGAGAAGGTAATGTCCTGTGAATTTCGGAAGATGGGAAGGGCGTATGAAGGAACCAGCCAACTTTCATGTTGCTATTGTGATCCTTTAGGCACTTTGGAAGGAACATAAGATGGTAATCATGGCACCAAACAACATCACCTTCTTCATAATGCTCATTCACTACATCAGCAAACATTTGATTTGCTTTCTTGTATGCAGCAAATTGAGATTGGAAACTTCTGGTTGTGGCTAAACGGTCTTCTTGGGGAAGACCAAGATAATGGAAAAGAGGCCATAATATGTTGTTGCAATAGCCATTGTAATATTGATGGACAACTTCTTCATCAAGAAAAACTGGTATGCACCTCTGTATCATATATAATTTAGTCATAACTAATACCCTTTCTTCAATCCCGAGTCAGGTTAAGGGGAAACCGATTTTTTTTTAAAAAAAAACTGAAAAACACCCTGGTAACCGTTAATCTAGACAATATGTACATGTGCATACAAGTAATTTGTAACATGCACACATGCATAAAAACCAAAGAACATCTTGAATTACTTGTATGCACATGTGCATACTATCCAGATGAATAGTTATTAGGGTGTTCCACAGTTTTTCATTTTTTGGGGGTTTCCCCTGAACCTCCCTCCTTCAATCCCACATGACAAATGTTAACCAAGTTTCATACAGATTTGAAACTTAACAAACATATACCTTCTCTGCTAATGCTTTAGTGAGTGCCCTCTGCCCAGGTTCATCTGGCACATTTACACCTGCCCACCCAATCCACTTTGCTTCAACCTCCTTAACACCTTCAATACATTCAATCAAAATAGATTGTATTTCTTTCTGTTGATATGAATGAATGAAAGCAATAGAGAAGAAATTCAAAACTTACCGAGAAGAGCGCTAACAAGGCCGCCAGCACTAACCTCCAAAGACCAACTCTCTTCTCCTCTTCTAACAGCGGAAACAGGCAGTCTATTAGCCACAACCAAAAGCCGTTGCGTAAACAGCCCTCCATCGGGTTTTTCCCATCCTTCACGTGCAGCTGAAGCTCCTTCAAGATACTGTTCTACAAGGTTGTCACCTTCCTTTAACCGTGGTTCAAACTCAAAGGCATCATTGCCAGTAACTTCATTAGAATAAGAAGCTTTACTGTTCTTCCTTAGCTCTCTTTCTCTCAAAAGCCTCTCTATACGACTTGTTGGAACCGATGTGTTGCCGTTGTACTTATTCCCAGGCATAACCGCTATCTACAACCAGACCTCCCACACCAACCTCAAGAGGAGTGGACAATGTTCCCAAAGCAGTTGTTCTACATTATGATTGAAACAGATAAACAAACAATCAAATCCATCAACCCCTAAACAATTCAAAATAAAAGTAATAATCATAACATCACTTAAATTAGCCATGGAGAAAATACAAATTCTTCACCATCATCAACAAACACAAAAGGAAACTAGATAACCAAAACAAAAGGGCATAAAAGAAAGAGATAACAGGGAGAACGAATGGGATCCACATAATTTTATCAGAGTACAAATGGGGTCTACCACTTCTGCCATATTGTTTCAGTCCAAGATTTTAAACCCCCACATTTACAATCCATCTCAATATTACTAATCCCTTAAAAACCATAAAACTAAACTCAAAGATTATGTGAAAACCACCAAGACATTTGCAAGACTCAAATTAGTTTCAAAATTTCCGAAAATAAGGACATTGTATGTGAACACTATAAACTGGATAAAAGAGCAGACTTTCAAGATATCGGACAAAACCCCAGTTCATATGGATTCACAAAATAAAAAATCAAACACCGACTCACCAAAAATTGACTCCAAATGTGAATTTTCTTGAAGTGAATCAGCCGTTCGATTGCCTGATACAAGATTCCCAATCCCAGCCGTAGAATTGAGGGTTTAAGAGAGAGAAATGAAGAGGGAAAGATACAGAGGAGGAGTTTGGGTGGCAGAAAAGAGGCATAGTGGGAGAAAGAAGAGGGAACAGATGGATCCTCGTGTAAGCTTTACAAGATATGTCTCACAGCCATGCAGGTAAAAAACACCAATGATTGGTGATGATCAGGCTTATATTTATTCATTTATTTATTTTAAAGTAAATAACTTCAACAATAAACTCAGTTAATTTGAAAGAAAATCAGATAAAGATAAAATGGTTTGAAGGCAAAGATTATTTTCTACAAGAGGATAGGAATCCCTCCTAACTTTTCCGGTTAACCACCGGCAACCGTGAACTGAGCATTTTCGTATGTAATGTTGTGCTCCGATGTCAATTGTCAAATCTTACCTAAATTTTGTTTGTTTATCTATTCAACACCTTCTTTTTGTTGTTTTGCAGATGAAAGACTAGCAACATTTTTTAAAGGCTGCATGATTAGGAAAAGTAATCAAATTATGTTACGTGTGTTCCATTTTCTGAATCATTTAAAAGTAGAGATTTTTGCTGCTTTTCATTTGGTATGCTACTATTAAGGGGTGTTTGAGATTGCTTATAAAAACAACTTATTGATTTATTTCGGTGTGACATCGGTAATAAACACTTTAGAGTGTTTGGATAAACAACTTATACCGGTACTAAACCGGTAATAAAAAGTTTTTGAAGAAGTTAAACTCTTCTGACTTATAACAAGTTGATAAGTGTTTTTGTATAAAAGTATAAATTGTTTCAAATAAGCAATCCTAAACACCCTCTAAGAATTCATTTAAAAAAAATGTTTGATTACTTTTATTTCTAACAAACTTGAGTAGCTCAATTTTATCGAATTTCTTGTTCTTTTAATTTCCACGTAAGTGTGTTTTCTTTTATAAGTATAATCATATTTAAAATATTACGGTTTGCAAAGCTTGTTTGTATTTTTTTTTTTTTCATTATATGTGTCAAAAGAGTTACGTTGCATTCTCGAAACTCGTTTTATAAAGGAAATGAAAGAAAAATGAGGGAAATTTTTATATAAAAAAAACTCATGTTTTCAAAACTTTTTTAGAAGAGAAAGGAAAGAAAATGTAAGAAAAATAATGATTAGTTTCCTTCCAAATGTAGGAGGAAAGAAAATGATCATTTAAGAAATTAATAAAATTAAAAAACTATCTGCTCTTTCATTTTAAATGATATAATTTTAAAAGATACATTAATAAAAATGACATCTTTCATATCCTTCTTTCTATTTCCAGGACACAAATAAAAAAAATTATTTTCTTCTACTTTTTTTTTTCTTTCCCTTCCATTTTTTTTCCTTTTTTTCTCTTTAAATTTGAGAACACAAAATTAGCTTTTTCATATTTCATTCATAATTAATTTTTGTCATCTTTCTGCAAAGGTATCTACTTTATTACTCATTGGACTATAGCCAAGTGAACAATGTTTTGATGTCACTAAAAAATCACTTTTAATTTATCAAGTTAAATATTTTTTTATTAACCTTAATATCCAATTTTTTAAAATATTATTTTTTAGATGAAAAGTTTTAGAAACATATATGTTTTTGACACATGATTAATGTGATTTGTAATATTATTTCAGTGAAAACAAATAACAAAATTTTAAAACATAAAATAAAAGAGCACTTTTTAGAACAGTTCTAACAAAAATCAAAATTAACATTATTGTTTTTAAGTATATAATATCCACCAAATTTATGGGGATTAAGCCCATAACCTTTAAAAAGGATGGTTCTACCTGTAACTTAGATACAGCTCGTTAATTTTTAAATTATATCCATCAAAATTAATAATTCATTATTTGTTAACCCAAAAAACTTTTGTTTTATACCATTCATTTGAAGGCAATTTTTGTTTTGTATTATACTGCTCGGTTGAAAATGATTGTACTATAAATAATAAATAAAACATAAAAATAGGAAAAGAAATGAAGTCAAGTGAGTGAGTGATTAGGATGGGTCAAGGACATGTCAAAACTAACATGTTTAACCAAAATAAAACAAGGGTATAACTCCAACCTAATTACCTCGAAAGATGGTTCTTATAGAAATAAATATTTAACTATAATTTTTATTGAGATACTGTAACCTTATAATAAAGTAGAAATAGGGACATGCGCCTATAGAGGTATGTCGGTGCCATCATCCCTGTATTTTCATCTCCTAAGTAGGTAAAAATTAGTCCACTATGTCAAAATTTTATTTTTGCCACACTCTAATCTCCATAGACCAAATTCATCACTACTTCACCTTAAACCACTATGATTAGAACTTAGAAGGCTTATGTTACACCTCTATATTCAAAAGCATGCAACTTACTTTTTAAGATCAAATTGTTTTTCTTTATAAAAAATTAGACGGCTACTCGTACAATGCAGCGAGATATATCTCGATCTAATGTTTTGTTTTATTTTGTTTTTGTAAATGTTATAATATGGGTTTTATGTGGTTTTGAGAAAGAAATAATGTATTTATTTTTGAATAAAATATAAAATTAAAAATATCATAAATTTTCGAAAATAAATATATTAATATTAGTATCTAATTAACTATTTAAAAGTTTTTGTTTTTTATGTAATTTTTTTAATTCAATTTTTTTAATTATAATTCAATTTAGATTTAATAACGAACTAATTTATTTTTGATTTAATAATATAATTTTTTATAAGGATTATAATTAATTATTTTGTTAAAACTCAATGATTATGTTTATTATATTTTAAATTTTTTATATTTAAAATGAAATGTTTATCTACAGTTAGTCACACGAATTCAAACATGAAGTTTAATATATTGTACTTACGCACAGTTTATTTGTAATCTTAAACTTTAAATAATATGCATTAATAAACAGTACTTCATGCATAAAATTGATTTTTAAGAGTTTTTATCAAATGTTTTATAATATAATATAGATAATTTGTTTAACAATAATATTTATGATTAAAAGATAAGCACAAACAAGAAATCCAGCGGATCAAAAACCAATGATTCCATATACTTTAAATTCTACTAAAAATTGCAAATCATATTTTAATTATTTATCAACAATTTATTAATAAAATATACTAATTTATTATTTATTAATTAAATCGTAAATAGTCAAACTATAGATTTCTTGTATATTTTAACAAACGTTCAGAAATAAATAAAAATAGTGTTACAAAATATTTGATTTATATATAATTAAAAAAAAACTTCAATACACAAATTACAAAATTATATATCTATACTATATTATAAAGCATTTAATAAAAACTTTTAAAAACCATTTTTTATGAATGAAGTATTGTTTATTGATGCATATTACTTAAAATTTAAGATTACAAATAAACTATGCATAAATACAACTTATTAAAACTTTATTTTTGAATTCGTGTAACTAACTGCAGATAAACATAGTCAAATACAAGATAAACATTTTATTTTAAATATAAAAAATCTAAAATATAATAAGAATAATCATTGAGTTCTAACAGAATACTTAATTATATCCTTATAAAAAATTATATTATTAAATCAAAAATAAATTACCTTGTTACTAAATCTAAACTAAATCATAATAAAAAAATTATATTGAATAAATTACACAAAAAACAAGAATTTTTAAATAATTATTTTGATATTAATATTGACATATTTATTTTTAAAATTTTATGATATTTTTAAATTTATATTTTATTCAAAAATAAAAACATTATTCATTTCTCAAGACCACATAAAAACCGTATTATAACATCGACAGAAACAAAATAAAACGAAACATTAAAATCGAAATATATCTCGTTACATATACGGGTACCATTCTAGTACAAATTGATAGTAATGCAAATTAAATAAAGTTACAAATACACAAATATTTAATAAAACAATATAAAAACAAATATATATACATAAAGTGAATTCAATTGATACCGCCTTCTATCGAAGGTATCTCAAGATAAAGACTAGATGTATATGAGTAAAAGTTATGAATGATAACTCCCTACATAAATATGATAATAAACATTAAATTTTATAGTTCCTAAATTTTTTAAACAATTAAAAACTACCTTAAAAATATTTTAAATGAATATTTTACAGAAAACATAAAATTATTATTTATCAATTAGACTAAAATATTTTATTTGTTTATTTATTACATATTTTAGTAATTATTTTATTGTCTAAATAAAAGTTTATTATATCTATATTATATTATAAAGCATTTGATAAAAACTCTTAAAAAATATGTTTTATACATAAAATATTGTTTATTGATGCATATTACTTAAAATTCAAGATTACAAGAAAATAATGCATAAATACAACTTATTAAAACTTCATGTTGAAATTCTTGTAACTAAATGCATAAACATAATCAAATACATTATAAAATTTTATTTTAAATATAAAAAAATCTAAAATATAATTAAGATAGTCATTATATTATAATAAAATATTAAATTATTATCTTTATAAAAAATATATTATTAAATTAAAAATAAATTACTTCGTTATTAAACCTAAATTAAATTACAATAAAAAATTGAATTAAAAAAATTACACAACAAACAAGAACTTTTAAATAATTAATTTGATACTAATATCGATATAATTTTTTCAAAACTTTATGATATCTTCAAATTTATATTTTATTCAAAAATAAAAACTTCATCATTTTTCTCAAAATCACATAAAACCGTATTATAACATCAACAAGAGAAATAATAAAACAAAACATTAAAATCGAGATGTATCTTGTTGTATTGTACGAATATCTTCTACTTACTGTATAATAGACCAATGTTTTAGTATTAAATTATCATAAGTAATTTAAATAAAAGCATCACCATTATTCGATTAAATATTTTTTAAACTAAAGTGACATTTTATTTTTTTGTTAATGCAAGGTAATTGCAGAAATTTAAGAAATGTGTTGTGCTTAGTATATGGGACAGTATCAGATAGAACATAATAAAAACAAACTTAGGAGCCGTTTACTTAAATGCTTACCGGATAAGTGCT